GTTGCAAAAGAATGCACCTTATGTTATAGTTAATCTCTTATATAATCTTATAATGGATACGTACAGCAAGACCACCAACAACAACGACTACAATACGCTATTCGTTTTACACAATTAGCCAAACAAATTGATTATTTAGGTAATGTTTTGATGTCCATTTAAGTGGTTATGTCAACAAGCAAAAATGTAGATTACGGGGCTTACCCCCATCCAGATGCACTGTTTGGTGCTGTGTTATGGCCGAAAAAGTTATCGGCCCATATTTCTTCGAGAATGAGAATGAAACGCCAGAAACGATTTCTGGGGCTTCCTACAACGGCCAACGCCAAAGCAGCATCCTAATTTGTGGTTCCAACAAGATGGAACGAATCGAAAAAGTTACCAAATTGAAAAGCAAATTACCAAATTTGATAAAGAAGTAATAAAAAAAAAAAATAACCAACTTTGGTTAAAAATTACCAAAGCGGCAACGCTGCATATAATAGGGCTGATGGCGTTCGAACTACGACTTGAATTTTGTGAATGGGAGATTGTATAAAATGTGCGCTGCACAGTTTTTGTGATTAAGTAAAATATATGTATGTATGTATGTATGTATGTATGTACGTGGTATACTTATTTTAATTTTAATACATACTTTGATTTGAAAGAAGCTTATTCTCTGCCTCATTATTGGCGCACCCGATATACATATCGAGCCCTAACCGCCAAAATAACGTAAGCGACATTTTTTTCAAAATTTTATTTTTGATGCAGAAATATTTCTAGAGCATCTATATGCATTTCTGCATCAAAAATAAAATTTTGAAAAAATGTCGCTTACGTTATTTTGGCGGTTAGGGTTCGATATGTATTCTTTGGTTGCTGGGATAGAAAGCGAATTCGTACGTATGTACATATGTATGTATGCGTAGTCTAGATATGCGGCAAGCAGCATTGAGTGAGTGCTTCATCGCTGAAAATTGGCAACGAAACCTACGCGCGCGCGATGACGATGCCATGACAAGATGCGCTGCGTGCGTTACGATGCGATGCTGTGCGGCGTTCCACATACTTTGGCCAATGGACATGACGCATATCTCGTCTATTTCGGGCTGTGATTTCTTGTTTTCGTTCATTGTTTGATGGCTTCATTTTTATTTATATTTTTTAATGGTACTTTTGTATATACATACATACATACGTACATATGTATGCATATGTAAGTTTGTCAAGTAAGCGAAAAGATTTGGGTAAATGTCGTGGACTCGAGGAGAATCTTTTAAGATATAGTTTCACCTGCAATACAAAAAGCCTAGCCAAGCAAATATCAAAAACTCAATTTTTGATTGATATGATCATTAGCGCACACAAGGGGTGGGTTTTGGGGTTCAAACCCCCCCTAAAGTTAATAACCTCAAATACAAACTGTATCTTAAAGCTAAGAATCCAAGGAAATCATAAGAAATATTTATTATAATTTCTGTTGCTTGATAAAAGCGCTTTGCTTTTGCTGTAAATTTTCGTGAGAAAATAATATACGACCATTTTTTTCTTGAGAGCTGCAAACTGGTTTAAGAAATTTTGGTAGAAGAAAATTTCTTTTCCATTTCTTGTCCGTCGTTTTATATGAATTTTTCGTTTTTCTTAAGAGTTCAGATAATTTTTTCGGTATTCGAAATATTAAAAAATGTGAAATGGTGAAAAATCACCATCTCTATCGAAAACCAGAACCCGAAATCGAAAAAATTAACATAAAAGTGTAAAAATTTCTTGGAATCAATAAATTTATTTTTACTGACTCTTTTTTAAAATTTTTTATTAGGTACTTTTGAAAGTTGAGCTCATCTTGAGTTTATAGAACTTTTTATTAAACAAGTAGTTTTTAAGGAAAAAACACAACCGACTTCAATTCTCATATACAAATTATACGTGTACCGTTAATTTCTTCATGATCCAATCATCGGATCTAACCCAAATTACGGGACGACCCTTGAGGTGTCATCTTTCCAATAAAAAAAGAATTATTGAAATCGGTTCACGTGGTCCCAGGTTATGTATTCCGACGAACTGATAACCTCCCCTTTTTTTGAAGTCGGTTAAAAACGTTTGAGTTCTGTTAATCTTATGTAAATAAAGTGCAGTTTATGAATTTTAAACCGTTTATTTATTTATTACATACTGTACATAAAACTTGCATAAATATATTTTAAAGAGCGTATTATCTGAAGAAAATGTTCAGTATTTTCCGGTGATATATCTTCAGAAATATAAAACCCCCCCTAAAATATATTCCTGGGTGCGCCCCTGGATATGATGCATTTCATCGCATTGCAACTCCCCACATCGTTTTATGCAAAAAAATGGATTTGTATTTAATTTAGTTGTATCAAATAACTATGGAAATTTTGCATTCGTAGTATTTGTTTTTAAATTAGAGGATAAAGTGAAAAATTTCCAACATATGTACTTATGTACATACATACGTAAAATAACTCATTCAAAAGTAAAATCGTTCGGGTGAGAACAGATCGAATGGTCGCGGTAGTTGCTTTCGTTAGGGCCCGTCTTCAACTGGGCACATTACATTGGCAAATATGCCAGACATGTTTCTTTATGGATGGATATATATGTATAGTGAGATTTTTTTCGATTTGTCTTTGCAATATCATAACTGTTTGCATTTCAACCGCCACTTATCCAAAAGCCAACACTCCACACCACACCTTGCCGCGTCGCGTCTCATAGTCACCGTCACAGCCGTCATAAAGTCATCAATTCCGATCGCCGCCGTATGTGAGCATATCGCGTATCGTCTTGCTGAGATTTTTATTTCCGACAACCATTGACAATGTATCCATATAAATGAATTGTTATGTTTGTCCTCGGTTGGCAGGGGTTGCAATCTGTGATCATGATGCAAGAGTTGAAGAGGTCAGTTTGCGCTTGCACAACGCCGAGATAAGAAAGCCTGCAACAAACAAAGCAATCAATCTTTAAATATGCACATATGTACCTGTGTTTGTTTGTATGTGTGTATGTATGGCGAGCCTAGGTAGGCGCCTGAAAGAAGGAGGAGAATTACAAATAGCGGTGGGAGGTGGGCTGTGTGTCGGTCGTCTGTTGTTGCGATCAGATCAGATTAGCTGATTAATGGTCAAACAAAAGCTGTTGAAGTATCATAAATGTATTTATGTATGTACATACCTACAACATAGTAACATAAACTTGTAGATATGTATCTACATACATACGATGCATGTGTGCACATCGGTAATTACATACATACATATGTACATATAAATGTGTTGGCACATACACCTTCCTAGATGTGGGTATTAACTTGGATATCTTATTGTAAAGTCATCTTGTTTTTTTTCTATCTTTTGATAAAAAGAATTCTGTCATACACACCCCCATACTTACATACCGCGGTCGAAGTATGTAATTATTTTGACAAGTTTTAACGTATTATTTTTTCTGTTATTTAATTTTGGTTATTTTGTTATAAAATATATTTCATTCTTTAACAAAATTCATTTAAATCTAAGTTTCAAAGTTTGTGCAATATTAAAAAAAAAATCAAAAAACTTTCATAAAAATATTTAGATTTTTTAATTGAGATTTCCTTGAAAGATTCTGAGTATGCAGTTTTGTATCCCATTGAATAAAGTACAAGTTTCAAATAGCTCTAAAAATTACGGTAGTTTTTTTTTTGGAATTTCTTTGTCCCGTTCGCTTTCATATAGCTCAACTTATTTTTATACGAAAAAACCCATAATATCTTCGATTAAAAAATTCTAAAAAATCAACGGTAATTTTTAACCATTTGAAACTTCCACATTTGCCCCTCGAATTTTTACGAGAGTTTGTTGAATTTTTTTTTAATACATATTTTTATTTTTATTAAAGAATGAACTACCTACCTACATATATTTTTAAAACAAAAATAATAAAAATTAAAGAACAAAAAAAAAATAATACGTTGCCAAAATGTGGTGCGGCTATTATTATTTCGACCACTGTATCCATGTACTTATTTGATGCCACCTTCTAACCATTGTCCGCTTTGCGTTTTATTGTTCTTGGTGAATTTTTTACTAAATATTTTTAACTTTTGTTTCCTTCCAGGTGTTGTACCATGAAATTGTATCACATGCGCGAGTTGTAAGCGCCTGCATCCGAGCTGCATCAGAAAAGCATCAGGGCCAGGTGTATCTGCAACAACAGCAAGAAGAAGAGCAACAGCTGCAATCGTTCGACAGTTGCGGCACAACAATAGCGGAACAAAGCAATTCATCACTCACATCCAACGAAGAGGAACCACCAGCGACAACAAAGGAAGCAACAGGTGAAGGTGAACAAGCCAGCGACGAATTGAGCAGCGACAGCAGCAGCAGCGGAATTGAAACTGCGGAAAAGTCGTCCCTGTCGCCGAGGAAATCATCTGCTAGGTCAGCCACTGGCTCTCCCGAGCTAGCGGAAAGTTCCAAGATTGTTGAGGATAGCTTGGATCGCTTGCAGAACCGTTATCACTTGTTATATTTGAAGGCATTCGAGGTGCAACTTTGGCTCGACGGTTTACTGCGCAAGAAAAGCTCGACTGCGGTAAGTTGCATATACCTATAAATGGATACTATATGTATGTATATACTCGTTTGTATATAAGATAGCCGAAACTGAAACTCAAAATCGCATTTGCGGCGAAGTAGGCTTTGAGGTTTAAGCAGATCTGAATAACGTCTTGCAAGTTTATGAGCGGATACTGACAGAATGCAATAAAAGGTGTCTGATAACGCAGTCATGGACTCTGTATGGACATCAATTAAAATTGGCCGAGATGCAGTCTAAACCCTTTATGCACCACCGATTGAGCTCACTGGGTCCTACCCAGTGGTGATACCCGTCCGCCACTCGCTTGGTTATATGTAGTGTTGGATAAAGCACGATTCCAGAAATACCCTGCATTTGGTGTAATTTTGTTAAATAATGACACTCTTTTTTT